GGGGGGAGGGGGGGGGACCCCCCATCATTAAAAAGGGTGCCACATTATGAGACATGTGGAGTTACAGAGGCGCTGTACAAGCTGGCTTCGGAAAAAATGCTGCATCCCCTCTGCACGTTAGACATCCCTCACTGAAGAATGTTGCTCCTCAGACAGCGTAACCCCCGCAAACCCTAAACCGTTGTTGGATAAGGCACACGAACCCCACGGCCAGCACCGAAACGCTCCTCAGGGGATCCACCGCCTCTGACCAAGCTAAGCCGTTGGTGATTGCCTGGGATTTAGGGTTTAGGGTTGACGGTTTAGGGTTCAGGGTTGAGGGTTAATGTTTTCAGCTGATGATTAGGCTTAGGGTTTGAGGCTTAGTTGGGATTTAGGCTTAGGATAATGTTGCGGGCTGAGGATTTGAGGTTCAGGGTTTTGGGTTAGAGATTCATAGAGATGATGCGGAGCGCAAACTGCTGACGAATCACTTCCGAAGGTGATCACAAGAGTTTCGCCCGGGTCATATCCCTAAACCCATCACCACTAAGTTACTGGGGGTTACTGTGTATAGGCCCGTCATAAATCGCTGCAGTACATGAGAGGCTCTTGGTTATCTTATGTGATCCTTTTCCAAGCTTCAAAGTTATGAGTCGGAGTTTAGCTTGAGGGCTGAGGGTTGAGGGTTGGGGGTCTAGGATGCAGGGTTTGGGTTTGAGGTCCGCAAGTTTACGTTCTTAGTGTGTCTAGAATCTACCCTTTGGGTACCCTTTGCGACTTTATACTCCCCCCGAACCAGCTAAGCAGAAATACAGACTACCCAAGCCAGACCCTGTACAGTTGTGTGCTCAGCTTATGTACTCCCAGACCACAATTAGAAATGGCCTCCGAAAAGCACTGAAAGCACTCTCTCAGGGACAGGGCTACAGGCATCTCGCCGGAGGTGTTGGAGCTTCCTTCCTCATGGTACTACAGGGGCCTAAATAATTACCAATATCATGTTGAGGTCCATTTGAGGTACCATATACTGTAATCATACCAGGAATATGGAACCATAATGTTGGTAATTATTTAGCATGATGAGCATCTGGCCCTGAAACACTAAACGGGTTTGAGGTCCACACAGATCATCATAAGGATCTCCCAGGCTCATTGCATCATCGAAGAGGCTAAGCAAAGGGCCCCTGAACTTTCAACACCCAAAACAGTAGCATTGCGTACACCTGGGAAACAGGCCTCAAAACGGGCATCCATTTATGCATCCCATTTTTTCATGATGCTGATCGTAGAAGAAGGGCAATCTTGAACCTCAAGCCCTAAATCCTGTCTCTTGAATTGCCGCCCAGGCAACATAGAAGAGAGTAAGCATACTCTGACCAATGCTAGACCAATGTCGCTGTAGCTCGGCAGGACATTCCTTGCCGTTCGTGTTAGGGCTCTGGGTGCAAGGTCAGGGTTTCCGGGTCAGGGTTCAGACTGTAGGGTTCAGGGGTTGAAGAAGGTTTGCAACTTGCAGTTGCCAGGGAAGGAATGCATCATTGGGGCCTTCTACGGTCAGGATTGAAACGTCTTTGTCGGCCCGGTGAACGCGAGCCTTCACGCAGGGTTTCTGTCGTTCTGTAGGCATGTGGCGACGACTGGTGTAGGTCCCCGTCCTGGATCTGTTGAAAGACAGCTGTTGCGACCAGAGCCTCATCTTTTGCAAATCCAAGAACAAGCCCAAGGCCCTGTGCCTCGCTTCAACTTTAGAACCTAAGCCCCTTTATCCCTAAACCCTTGGCCCTATGCTCCCTCTGCCTTCAACCCTTAGCACTTAGGACCTAAGCCCAGATATCCCTACATAAACCTAAAACCTAAATAATGCGGTAGTCTCCCGTGCCTTTTCCATTCCTCCCCCTCCAAATCCCCATATACAAAATATAATCCCTACATAATCCCGCGTTCCCCTATGTCTCAAGCCCACGCCCAGGTGCCGGAACGGCGTTGACATCATTTTGGGCCTGTACGGCCAGAAAGCGGCAGTAGTCCGTGACCAGCTGGGTGAGTATCACTCCAAAGCCTTGCTAGAAGGGTTTGCGTTTTTGGGGTTTAGGACTGAGAGTTCACTGTCCAGAGCTTTACTAGGTTCATGGAGGCTGGAGCAATGCATGTGAGCCTATGAACCCCTTGAAACTGGTCATAACTTCATTTTGCTATCGAGTAGCCTAAATCAAAATTCCTTTGGCCTTGGGGGCTGAGAAATTCACAATTTTGGCATTGCTGGGTGTCGCGCTTTCAGGGTTTAGGATTTCGGGAATCAATTCAGGGTTTGGGGTCGTAGGCCCTAGGCTTGGCTGGGAAAAAGGATAGGATAACACTTAAGAGAACACGTCCTAAACCTTCGAACTCGCACAAGCTTAACAACTTTGATTCCGTCGCGGAGCCTTGCTATGTAATGGCCCAGAACCCTTCATGAACTGGAGGCCGCGCAGCTGTAGAAGATGACGAACAGCAGCACCATCGTCCACATCAATGAGTTGATCGTGCTCACAATGGAGAGGACCAGCACCCTGCCAATCATAGCCAATGTCTACCCACGATCTTTAGGAGATTACCTGCCTCCCCTAATGTGCCACCAAGGGCAAAGAACATTGGTGATATCCAACAGATACTTCTCCTAGTACAAGTAACTGAGAGGACATACAGGTTGCTTGACAAAGTTAATGCAAAAACTGTGGTAAGCCATTCCACTCTGCGAAGACTGTAGGGGCTAAAGGATTGGAATCGGGTCTTGGTGCACATTACATTGTAGTCGTACAGCGACTATACTGTCGGGGGAAAAATTACTCAACCTTCTACCGTGATATCTTGTAACAAGACCGAGACATCCACGGTGGTGCGTGATATACTGTTTGGCGTCCCAAACTCGACTGAATATAAAACCCCCTATCTCGTCCCAACAGCCCTATATACAGCCTATACAATCCCTATATACCTGTATAATCCCTATATAGCCCTTATATGCCCAACACCTTGCGCAGCAAGGCTGCCAGCTCGCAGCCCTGTGCATCACTGGGATTCAGGGTTTAGGCCTTAGGGTTCTGGGGTTCAGGGATTGGAGAAGTCCTGACATCCCGGGTAAGACCTAACAGCCCCAAGCCGCTGACCTCAGGGCACTGAAGTAACGGAAGACCCGGAGAAAGCGCATTCCACGCAGGGCACCTGACAATTTCTCTTTTTGTGTGCCTTGATGTGTGGTTTGTCATATGGTTGGGGGCTGGGCATGCATCAAGGTCACGTGAGTATATGCACCACCATTACTCCTGGCGGGTTCCCATTTATCCTCACCAAAGTGTGAGGTTGCACTTGTACTACTGCTTTGGTGGTAGAATTGGCTGGCTTTCTAGTATAGGACCACTGGCTATGCATGCCTCTGTTGCGGTACGTATCAGGAATAAACTCCTCACCGCGGCCTACTCAGGGAAGAATCCGGCCACGTAGTTGAGGGCTTGTGGCTTGGGACGCACCTTCCCCGAATCTAACATGGACCCCAAAGAGAGCCCTGGAGACTATTGAACATTGATGCGCTCAAATAGGCTTGTCAGCTACGACCTAAACCCTAAACCCTAAACCCTAAACCTTAAACCCTAAACCCCTGAACCCTAAAACCTCAAAACCCCAAAACCCTGAACCCTAAACCCTACCCTAAATCCTAACTGCGTGTTTAAGGTTTTGGGTGCAAAGATTCCGGCCGTAATATGGACCTCAAAGTGCTATTATACTCCTTATTATGATGACCCCAAAAAAAAGACCCCTAGTTTCGGGAAACCCCACTTAGGACAGTCCCCTACATAATCCGTTATATAACCCCCTTTTAAGAGTTCCTCAGATATCCCTACATACCTCTATAGCTGCCCCTAGTAGCACCTTATACGTACCCAGAAGGCATTGAAAACACAAGGAACTCGAGGCTTTTGGGGGGGTGGTATACACGACTCCCTCCCCGGAGGATTGGGCTTAGGTTTTCCCTAGAATCCCTAGAATGCAAGGGTAAAACCATATTGCGCGTGCTCACTAAGGGATGGGAAGGGCTACTCGTACCAAGAGAGCCACCCTCACTACCCCATTACACGCATACATCCTGTACACGGGACCTTCAAAAACAGGTTTGGGGACCTTGCGGATTACCAAATTCCTATTAATCACTACCGAGGGCCATGGGGCTGGATCAAGACATGGAAACCATTCGTAAACCTATAATCCCCCTTAAGCAGCCAGAACATGGCTTTGGGTAAAAACTATACTAAAATCCCCATATACCCCATATTCTATCTACTTAAGGAGGACTATTCACCCACAATCCCTTCCTCACAGACTCACAAAGATCCCGGCACGTGCCAGACGCATGGTGCGCACCACGGAGAAGGCGTCGGAGCCCCACATGGAAGAGGCAAGGCTCCTCGTAGAATCAAGGCTTAGGGTTTGAGGTTTAGGGTTTAGGGTTTAGGGTTTAGGGTTTGAGGTTTAGGGTTTAGGGTTTGGGGTTTAGGGATGCGTATTCCTGCTAATTCTTAGTAGGGAATACGGGAATACATTATATAGGCATAGTGGAAAAGAACATGGAAACAACATGGAAGCTACGACATTAAAATAGTGTATATATTGGGGGTGGTGAAGTAGGGAAAGCAGAATTTCTTATATATTCCCCTTATTCCCTGTCAAGAACCGATAGGTACTTGGGTCAGAGGGCATATGTAAGAAGTATCTACGGAAATCCTCAGGTGATCGCCGTCTGCGGAATTATGGGAGAAGCTACAACTCTCAAAATTCAAGGCCTGATCTCAGACTCTGTGAAATCTTCTGCCCCAGAGTTCAGGGTTGAGGCGTATCCCAAACCTCCCCAGCTAATCCTAGCGCGGCCCAAAAAACTGCGGAACCTCTTCCCAAGTCCTCTAACCAGGCTTCTCCAAGCTCCCTGGAACAATGGTAGAAATTTCAATTTCAGCTGGTTCCTAGGATTACACATAACAGAAATTAGACATCATCTTCAGGAAACTTCAAGGCTTGGGATTTGGGATTTGGCTTCCTCTACATCTTCCCCGGTAGGGACTAGAACATGGTAGTAACCCAAGTATAACAACAGGTACTCCACATAGTGAAGGAAGATGCTCAAACCCTCAGCCTCCATCCTGGAATCCCCGAAACCTATCCTAAACCCTAAACCCTATAAACCCTAAACCCTAAACCGTGTGGCTATACACCCATGTCCCCTCACCCACTGAAGGGTCCTGGCCCAGAGGTCCAGCGCCGTCTCAATGGCCGAGATGGCGACGATGCTAAAATCAAAGATATTCCACCAGGCCTGGAACCCATTGGGGTCATATTGGGGTTTAGGGTTTAGGGTTTAGGGTTACTTAGGGAGAATGGAAAAGAAAATGGAAACTACTATAGTATAATAGAGTATATATTAGGGGTATATTGGGGTTATTTAGGGAGAAAGGGTTATTTAGGGATAATGATAATGGAAAAGAAAGTGGAAACTACAGGTTTATAGGGGCTATCTTAGGGTTATGTTGAGGTTATTTAGGGAGAATGGAAAAGAAAATGGAAGCAACGATCTTTTCATAGGGTATATATTGGGGTTGTGTACGAATAATGGAAAACGGAAACTACTGTAATGTGGTTCAGACTTCAGGGCCGGCCAACGGATTCTGAAAGTGAGGAACCCCTTTCACCACATTTTAAGTGGCTGGCTGCTGCAGGAGACCCCCCTCGTAGACTCTCACCAATATTTCCGACGGGCCTTATACATTCACCAGAGACCCAAAACTATGAATTAAACCGCTTGCTCAAAAAATGTGTCACTTTTCAATAACAGTCGGGTTGGGGGAGGTGGGTCGGGCGAGTGCAGGGGAGGTGGGGGCTGGGAGGAGTCGTGCAGGTTCATACTGCAGCGGTGAGTAGGATGAAATGTGCCCTGAATAGTCTTCGTGTAGCCGTACATCTCTATATATATATATATAGCATACATAGATGTATATATGACCTATATAACTATATAAACTATAACTGTACCTAAGCCAATTACAAACCTAATTACATGGAGACCGTCCATCGGTCTAAAGTTTGGGCTTGGGGTGTTTCAAGCATCTAGGCAAGCAGAATTCATAATGGTTCCCCTCAATAGGGAAACCCCGTATAAACTCCCAAAACCTCCCAAATACTATCATCCCTTGTCTAGGGGCCCCCCAAAAGTTACCCCTAGTCTTGGGAAACCCTCATATCGGGCTTGGGGTCTGCATCTTTGAAACGAAGCTTCAGTTTGCTAGGGTCCCTGAAATTCCGGGACTCTGTTCTGGGACGTTTGGCACGAAGATGCGTCTCTGAAACCAAGGTGCGCCCGTGTAAGCGGCACAGACGGCTCAAGACCATAAGAGGTTTAAAGGGTTTAGGGTTTAGGGTTTAGGGTTTAGCGTTTACGGTTTAGGGTTTAGGGTTTAGGGTTTAGGGTTTAGGCTTCGAGGCTTAGGCGTTACGCTCGCAAGCTGAGGAAGGATTCAGCCTGCTGTAAGCGGCGCTCCTTGAATTTTCATGACTCTTACATATATAGTCGCATAAATTAGATAGAATATGGGGTATATGGGGATCTTATTCTAATATACCCGAAGCCATATTATATCTCTATAAACCCTAAACCCTGAATCCTAAATAGTCGTTTCCATTTTCTTTTCCATTATCCCAATATACACGCCTTATTCGATCTACTTAAGGGAGATTTTAGTGTAGCGCATCATGTGGCTTGGGCATCGACAACCACAGGACACGCCAGAGATGTTTCTGCGAACATTGAAACAAGTGGGCAGTTTAGGGTTTAGGGCTTACAGATCCCCAGCCCCCCTGATTCCAAAACCATGGGCATACCCAAGTAGCCCTCCAAAGACAACACCTAAGTTGGAGAGATCTGCAGGTCCCAGTATCAAAGAAGGTAGGCTGAGGGGGGACATCAACAAAACTCTCAAGGAATGGCTACACCCTCACGCCTAAACCCTTCAACGTACAACCTCGTATACTCAACATAAC